CGAACCTCCAGTTGGCAACCAGAGGATACGGCATGTCAGAGGCTCGCTCGCCTCGCCATCCCAGGGGACCGGTCACCCTGANNAACGACGGCCTCCCTCGCCCTTCCATCCTGACCAGCAAGACTCTTTCTCGCGTGTTGGGCTCTAAAAAGCAGGTAGCTTGGGTCTCGAGCAGATTCGAGTCCAAAGCAATGCTACTGGCTGGCAAGCAATGACAACAGCTTCCTACGATGTTTAAAACCTGAGAAGCAATTGTTTTCCAGAGTGTTTGTTTCAAGCAGATTCGACTTCTTTTTCGCTTTTTTGTTATTGGAGAACTGTTGCAGACAAAACTAAAAAGCTTTGCTCGGCGTGTTTTTTGCCTTTCCAAACACCGAGGCAAGCGTGGCGAGCTCAAAGTTCTACGTCTTTTTTTTCGTTTCGATTCGAACCGTTCTTTCTTGTTTCCCTGACTTCTTTGCGTTCGATTTTCTGAAAGCACAAATTTGCTGATGTGCACCTTTTAGGTGTCTTTTTCCTTGGTTGCCTTGTTTGCGTTCCAATAAGAACGTTGTTACTTTTCTTTTTTTTGCCTACCTAATTGTCTGCTACTCGAGTGTGAAAAAACAGTTAAGACGTTTGCTTTTTTGGGTTAAAGGCTGTTCGACGATGTCTTTTTCCAGACCACGCGATTCTCCATCTTGTTTTCGCTGGGAATGGCCTGGAGCCAAGCGGCGGCGTGCGCACCGGCTGTTGAGGATGCTGCATCCCAGCATCAGATGGAATTGGATTCTCCAATCTGCGCTTGCTTTTCTGTTTAAGCAGCGGAGAAACTGTGCATGCTGCGCATAGATGACTACGAATGCTTTTACGCAAGCTTTCAAGTGAAGTTGCAAGTTTTGAATTGCACTTGAAAGATCTCAGCTCAGATCCAGGTTTGCTTGGAAAGAGCACGCACGTTTGCACTGCAAACTTCCATCAAGAGTCAAATTGAGCTGCTCGGCCAATAAAGTGTGGTGCATCGCCAACCTTGAACGCAACAGATCCAACTGCTTGCCGACATCTTGGAAGATCGCCTTCTGAATGCTTTGATGACAATCAACGCAAACAGCTCTGCTCTGCGCATGCCATGCATACTAAAATCACTAAATCTGAACGCCTTTTGCTTGATGTCGTCTGCTGAGTTGCGAATCATGTTTGATCACAGACGTAGCTGGTTCAGTTAGCAGTTAGCATGTTGCTTTGTGTCTTTCGTCTCGTATTCGTGCTTCTATGGAGTTTTCCTGGGTCGACTTCGCATTTTAGAAGGTTCAAGATCGAATCAATGTTTCCAAAAGGAGATCTCCACGTGCATTTAACTGCTGCTCTGCTCCAAAGAAGACTCTGAGTGCGATTCTGTGCTTTACATAAAAACAACTCTAGATTCGGGTGGCGCGTGCTTGCAGCTTGGTCGCAGATGTGTCATGAGGTCCAGTGCATCCGCATGGCATTCTGTCCCAAGAGTTTATTGTATGCAAGTAAGTGTGCCGAGTGCTGTCGCTCTTGAGCGATGCCGCTTAACACCTATTGGTACATTGCTTTTCTGGCAGTCATCGCCGTTGGGACCACAGAAGGAGAACCAGAAGCCTGCAATTCGCGGACATGGGCCATGGCCAATGACACATCCGCTCTCCTTCAAAAGGGACTTCTTCGAGTTGACGGACTCCTTCGGAGCGACGTTGAGCTGAGCGGACAAGGGACCACCGTCACAACAACGGCACCAAGACCACCAACGGCACACCTTGAATATGATGCTAATCCAGGGGACACCGAAGTGTACCTTAGCACCCTCGAAGGCTTCGATGTCGGGGATATTGTCGTGATCCAGGATGATTCTCAGCTTGGCGAGCAGCGTGAGATTCTGGACATCACCGAAGACCCACCGCAATTGCTACAAAAGGATGATTCCAAGTTTTCTAGATCGGGATGGATCAAGATCAAGAAACTCACGAAGCTCTTTCGGCGCAGGCTCCATGGGCTTGTTAGAGACATCCTAAAGAAGAAGAAATCCACCACCACCAGCACCACCACCACCACCACCACCACCATCACCACCACCACTACTACCACCACCACCACAATGACCACCACCGCAACAGCCTTTCTGACAGTTTTCATAGGTGACCTGCCTGTTGGTGCAACACAAGTCCCCGTACCAGACGTCACACAGTTCAACCGGCGAGATTTGATACGCATTTTTGACAGCGAGGGCGCTGTAAACCGCAGCATCCTTGGCATCACTGAATCCCCACAGCTGATGCAGCTCAGCACAGGGACTGCAGAGGCAGCTGGCGATCTCGAAATCATCGCCTTGGAACGGGCATTTCGCGATGCCTTCTTGCAGCTAATCGAAAGCGCGACCCCGACGACATCGACCACGACCAGCAGTAGCAGCACCGCCACGACCACAAGCACCACCACCACCACCACCACGACTTCTACACGAGCACCACCACGACTTCCACCACCACGAGACGACTTCCACCACCACGAGCACCACCACGACTTCTACCACCATGAGCACCACGACGACTTCTACCACCACCAGCACCAGCGCCAGCACGACCGCGACCACCACGACCACCTCTACGCTTTCGAGAAGTGTAGACGCTTCAGGGTGGCCGCCTCTGCGTTATCGGATGTCATGCGCACTCAATGATTGTCTTTAGAGAAACTCTCAAAAGTGACCTCTTTGGCAATTGGGGCAATGGACCCGACGTCGCACCGTCGTACCATCCGAACCAAACAGACAAAACTCTGATGCAAACAACTGGACAAACCTCAGCAAGCGCCTCGGACTCGCTCTCAAACAGCTTTAGAGCGCCGCGCTGTTTGCAAGCATTCTGGAGCCCCTAAATCGTCCTCTTTCGCGAAGATGAACCCTTTGTCCTTGCCAAGTGCACGTACGCACGACACAGCTGTCTGGAAATCCATGAGACACCATGTATGTCACTTGGAGGCAGTGTTTCGCTGTACAAAAGAGTTCAGAGCCAGCATGCTGGAGGCACCGAGTTTTCTCGGACAATGCAGGGTGAAGCGACCTGGAATGTGAATTCCAGGTTGGTTGAAGCCTCTGAACTGGTCGCTTCTGATAAGGACAATTGAGAGTTCATTGAGCAATAAGAATAGCAAGAAAATTAGAGTCCTGAATCAATGTGTGCCAATCTCGCCGCGTCTCCGAAAGATCTTGAGAGGGAAAAGGCGGCCTCGAAGCGAAGTGGCGCATGAGAGGCCAGCACCAACCGCAAATGACCCTACACTTCCGACCACGCAGGCAGGATAAGCGCGACTGGACTGCACAGGTCTGTGCAAAAAGACCTGTTGGAGAAGGGCCGCAACACCACCAGGTTGTTTCTCAGAATGTCTCCTGCTCTCTGATCAGCAAGGACTTTTACTTATACCACAACCAAAGCCAGGCTGGACAGAGGCTTTCAAGACAACTTTGCTAATGGGGATACCTTCTTCCAGGTTGGACTGGCTCCAGGCTAGATCCAACTAGGCTGTAGATTTTGGCCTCGCAGACCCTCTTTTGCAAGGAGCGGGGCTTCTTCGAAGGGGCTTCAAAGCTTTCAATACTTGGAAGAAAGCCCTATGTGCACACCTGAGCCTTCGATTCCTCCCCCATTTCGCTTCGAATGCTTTGTCCTTCCCTTCGAAGCCTTCAAAGCCTTCATCTCCTCAAAGCCTCCCCCTCCTCCCTCCCTCTCCCTGAAGTGGTATTGGAGGTGCGTCTCCCTCCCTTTGGTCTTCGTTCCTGCTGGAGTCGGGCAATTGCATGTGCTGGGGTGAAGCTGCCCGCGCCGAGCCTTGCAACGGTCGCATTCAAACAAGAACTCGAAAAAAAAACACGCCGCCGACCCTCCGCACCCCTAGCTTTCGTCCGCTCTGCTCTTAAGTTTGATTTTTCTTGTCCGCACGAAGAAGAATTGGGGTCAAGCTTGTTAAAAACGGAATGCATGTTCATGTGGCTGTCTGACTGGACACGGAACAGACAGCTTGGAAGACAATCGACGTATGCATGCTGTTCTAACGTTTGAGTTTTTTCTGTTTCGCAGTCCTTTCCCTCTGTATATGTTTTTAAGTCCTCTTTCCCTCTGTAGGTCCTTTCCCCCTAAGGTTTTCGGTTTTGATGCTGGGGCGAAGCTGGACACAAAACACGCAGCTTACCATTATATCCCAAAACAAAGAAACCTTTCATTGCATTCGCCAGACAACCACTGTACTTCGCAATCCGGACGAAAATTCCGCTTCAATGTCTCGGCGTGACGCGGGAGACAGTTTGATGACAATTTGGAAAAAATCCGCATGACATGTTCAATTTGTTCCAGGTGAGTTGATTGAGTAGCGTGACTTCTACTTCCTCGGCTCTTGCACCAGACGCAAGCACATGATCTGAGCCTGACATAACCGTGCATGAACAAGATGAAGCATGCCGTGTCATGCCCGCCAGTATATCTCACATCCGGGCAACGTGCTGGTAGCACCCGGCGCTTTGGCTAGGAATGGGCAGTCGGCCCGACTGACCCATGGTGTGGCCTGCATAAAAGACGGGCTTTGCACCCAGACGGTAATTGAGGGTTAACTCAAACCTTATCGCGTTTCATTGTTCTGCATGTGTCAGACCCTCGAACCTCTGCTTCATGACGCCGAAATGGCCTCAGTGCTCTTCATGCCGCGACGAACGTTGCAAGTTACTTCCGTTTCTACAGGCCCAAAAAGGGCAGCATGGGAGACCTGGCTGCGAATTTGGCCGCCGGGACGCTCACAGGCCATCCCCCACGAACGGCAACATTTCGGCTTCCTTAGAGCTTTCAAGCTTTGAAGTTGCAGAGCTATACCTGGATGTTCTCTCCTGTTGCAGACTGGGAGACATAGAACGACAAGATTCGGTACAGAGTCTTTCTCGTAAGGCGTTTGTGCCGAGTTCAAGATTTCGGATCAATTGCTGCTCAGGCATGACTACAAGTTCTTTCAGCCATCCCATGGACACATTGAAGTCTCGCTGGCAAGTTGTTCGCAGCTCAGTCAGTCTCTGCATCTTTCGTTGTGACCTCTTGTTGTGAACTGCAATGAGTGGGCAAACGCTTTTTGTGCGGCAGACATGACAACGATTCCAAAGGCATGCCGGAAAACGACAGGGCAGTGGCTTGATGGCATTGGGATTGTGGCGAGTTGCAGGCCGATCCGATCAGAAATATTGCCATGTACTGAACGACATGGCGCATATCTTGTGTGATTTCTTCTCACGTAGCCGAGCACACTTCGACTTGAGTTGGTGCCAGAACAACTTTTGGGAACCGAGCCATCTCTAGCATTAACGAATATGTGTAAACGTCCGTTGGCTGTATCAGCCTCCGAAATATGATGCTTCACCACAGCCAAGGACTTGCTTCGGATTTGCGAGAACTCTTCTGTTGCAGGTCGCCCTAGCGAGTGTTTTTTGCATGACGACTCCTCTTGACTGTGGTCCACTATTCAAGGAGGGCTTGTGGATGGGACTATGGAGGCGCAGACCTTCAGAATGTTGATCCTTCAAATAATGCGGTTTTTGAGCACAAACGCAGAAGGCCGGGGCTCGCAGCCAACGTGGCTTCAATGGGCTGCTGTGTTGGCATGAGGCTGGAAATGTCTTTAGCTGCATCGTTCTTGTCAGAACCTCGTGTAACATTTCACTGGAGTCGACTGATCAAGGATCTGATCAAAGATCAGCATTTGAACGGACATGAAAGGAACGGGCTCTACACTGTCTTCCGTGATGGCATTGGCACTGACCCAAGACTCCAGAGTCATCGAACCGGCACATGGTCGAAGTCCAGAACAAGACGGGGTGAAGAACACGGCTGGCCGTCCAATACAAGACGTTTGAGGCCACTTGGAAGACAGAGCTTCTGGTATCCCACCCAGTGCGACTGGCAAGGCGGCAGTATGGATTGGATAGGGTAAGGCCGTCAATCTGTGTTCAGCGGCACCGCCAGGCTGGTCCAGTGGCAATGTTCACAGCCGGACTGTTTTCTGGCATGCCGGCATCTGAACTGCTAGGAAATCGAAACGACAAAGTTGTAACAGACGGATCGTGGCAGATCAGGGCTGGCTACATCATCACGGCACCACTGCTGCAGGTGGGACATGTTGCTTTTGTTTTATGATTCGGTCTTCTTGCAAAGCATTTGCTCAGGAGTCTGTAGCTCTTTGGGCTTGCGGGAAAGGGGCCTTCGGTGATGCGCACCAGGTGAAGACACGGATGCAAGCCGAAGCCGGGCGAATTGGCCCTGTGATCTCCTGAGTTGGCCAGTGCGCTCACAGCAAGACCAGACAGAGGACTAATGTTGTCTTGCAAGGATGGGCGGTATGTAACCGGTCTTCGTCGTGGGCATGCGCCCACATATCGAAGCACATTTCAGGCCTTGCCACTAGGCAAACTGAGAGATCACAGTGCTTGTGCACTCCGCCGGGCAGGCGCTGCATGCTTTGGCATCCGCAAGATGCTTCTTAGCATGCAGTAGAAAGGGACATCCCGGAAATCCGCCAACGTGTCAATCCAGGTCCCCATGAAAGGATGCGATCCTTGTGGAGAGGAGCTGGTGTGGCAGCAGCCTCAGATCTTTTGAAATCAGTGTTTCCCGAGACTTCAAAACCACGACGAAGTGGCTGCAATGTCAGTGATAGCGGGCAGCATGAATTTTCGCACTGACCTTCACTCCTATGCAGTTCTAAGATCGTGGCACGCGGTGCCGCGCTTTCGGGCTCTCAGCTCATTTCGTGCGCTCCCTAGGTGCTTTTCGTGCTTGATGTGTCGTGATCTTTTCGGCTGGCTCAGGATGATGTGGATGGTTACATACCTGGTTTTCTCTGTTAGCTTCCACAACAGATCGGGTGCCTGATGCACTTTCGGCAATGCACACATCCAACACTCAGTCGGAGGCTAACTTGTACAGAAGAGATCCATAATCACTGCAACTCCTAGTGCGCACACAAACACAGACACCGAGCGGGGGGGGGAGGTAACTTCACCAACCTGGTGTAGCTTACAAGTCTAGATTCTAGATGGCTTCTCCGCCTCGCAGCGATGGACCTGCAAAATGGCTGTCTGGAAACGCCAGCAAGGACGAGACCTTGCGTGCGTATGCAGTCTTTCGATCGTGCCGGCTCAGCAACTGATCTGAGATGCTTGAAGGATGGCCTACGTGATCTTCTTTGCGGGATGATGTCGGGCTTCGTGTGCCGATTCAGAGCGCAAGTCTTCGCAGCAGAATTACCCCTCTGGATCCATGATGTGGTTTGCCTTGCAGGTGCAAGATCGTGGAATATCCCGCAGATACTATCAAGGCTCCGGGCTCCGACTTCGAGCAGCTGGCCCGTGATTTCTTCGCAGGTTCTGGAGCAGACCAGCGGACGCTTCAGCGGACCGGTCGACTGCTTTCGGAAGACGGCCAGCGACTCGTAATGTCCGCAAGACAGCGGTGACAGTGGTGGCGATAGTGGGCAGGTGGCAACTTCGGGCATTCTGTCGCTCTACCAGGGGCTTGGCGCACCCCTGCTGGGGTAACTCGGTGGCGGCACTGCTGTGGCTAAACACAGGTAGACCGTGTGCACTAGCTGCTACTTTTGTGATCCCTGCTGATCGGAGGTCCATGGCCGAGAATGCCAGTCTCTTCGTGTCGTATGGATACATAAAGAAGGCAGCCGCGTGTATCTCAGGTCAGGAGTGCCTTTGCAAAGAGTTTGATGTCAGGCCCTTTCCGTGGATGAAGTTTCTCAGTTGCAGAGCCTGTTCGCCTTGATGCATGCGCAGTCGAATGTCTGAGAAGGAATTGGCCACGCTCGCCAACCCCATTCCATTCTGGAAGCTGGTCTTGGCAGGCTCTTGATGGCTTCTTTGGGTTGAAATCTGCAACAGTGGGCTATGTGGGACTGTCTGGAAATCTGCAGGTGGTGGCAGTGGTTTTGCATCCACCTGCGTGCTGACGCCGGTGGAGCTGATCAAGTGCAGGCTGCAGGTGGGCAGAGGGCAGCTTGCAGCAGCTTGCGGCAGCCTCGGTCACCATGTAGCCTGAGTCTTTCCTGTTCTGTGGAGGCTCAGCTCGGCAGCGCACATTCTGAAAAGCTTTACAGGCATGTGCCGTTGCGAATGTTGCATTCCTGGGCATGGCGGTGTTCTGACAGGGGGCCAGTGGATTGTGTTGTTCGCACAGTGCGAGAAGACGGTTTGACGGGGCTGTGGCGAGGCAACCTGAGCACGTCGCTTGGATGCAGCAGAGCCATTGCCCATCCTCCGGCTGCTGGACGCCTGTGCGTGGAGCCAGGCTTATGCGAGAAGTGCCTGGCAATATGGCAGCTGCCTTGAGCTCCAAGCTGCACGTACCTGCATTGCTTCCCTCGTATTTGGCTTCGTCAAGGCTTGGTTCGGCGTTTATGAGGGTGTCGAGGGCCCAGAATCGAAGAAGCAATGCTCCAGTTCGCGACTTCTGCTTCTTTCCTGTATCCTCAGTTGGTGGAAGGTCATGAGGATGGTGCAGACAGCCAAGCATTACGATAAGAAGAAAGATGTTCCGCTGTTGTGGTCTGCCCTGTCTGGTTCCTGTGCTGGTGCTTTGGCTGCCAGACCGATCATTGTTCCACCAAGCCAGACAACTTAGGATTCTCTTCAAAACCAGACTCAGGTGTCGCATACTGGGCCGTTCCTTACCCAGCAGACACGGCTGCAGCCTTGGGCGCATGGTTTGCCAGAAAGATGCGACATGTCCTGCACTGCTTGTGGAAGCTCCAAGGTCAAGTCCAAAATTCAGACTGATCCACGATTCTACGGGCAGTCCTTCATGACAGTTTTTCGAACTGTGCTGAGGCATGCTTCGTACATGCAGCTAGAAACTGATTTTCTGAGTCATCGGCCTCTTTATCAATCCTTGGCAACTGGTGCAGGGAAGAAGGCATCTCCGGCCTTTACCGTGGTTGTGGCATCACTTGCTTCCGTGCCGTCACTAGCCGAGCATGTCGGTGCTCGTCTGCTTGAAGCCTTTGAACCACAATGGTGGCTCCAAGGTTCCATCTCACGCGCTGATATTCTATGTCTACGAGATGGCAAACAGGTTTCTGCTCAAATTCTAGGAGCTGCAAGCGGCCTTGGCCGCCTTGGCCGTAGGGCCCGGCTCCATACGAGTTTTCTGACGCTGCCATGTACATAAGATGACGAACATCTCGGCTTGCAAAGTCAGAGGGGAGCAGATGGTAGCTCTGTTTCCTGAGTTCGTTGCGTGCCGGTGGTGACAGCGAGCGAAGAATTACCTTAAGTCTTATATAAGTGTTTCTACGACAGCTGCCACCCTCGAAAGTGGAGAAGCCTTTCCTGCTTAGCCGCGATCTGAGCACATCATCGAATCGGTTTTCGAAGCACAGCGAGTTGGGCCCTCAAGACATAGTGTATTAAAGCTCTTGCCGCACCGACTTCGAATCCGGCGAAGGGGCGGCAGGAGGCTTTGTGGAGGAGACCACGAAATGAAGCGCATGTCTTGTCTGCATTGACCGATATGGGACTTTGAATCATTACATCACGACGACTACCCCTAGTGCAGCTAGGAGCGGGTTCAAGATTCATGAGCGAGCCAGAGGATTTGCAGACTCCATCGATAAGGCTGCAGCACATCGTTGCTGTTGATAGTTAGCATGTCTTGGCCATGAACAAATGGTGCACCTATGGCAACGAGAGTATGACTAGATCAGGATGTCTTGTGCTCCGTCTCTAGCAAACTAGAATGTTTTTATTGTACCTGAACGACACGACTTGTGCGTATGTTTCATGCATGCAGCAGCTTGTTTCTGCGCTGTGGGGTTTGAGCCGGCTCGCTTGGCTGTTCTGTTGAGGTACGATGCCTTCAAAACGATGATGAAGGCCTATAATTTGATGAAGGATGGCCGGCTCCTCTGATGGTAGAACAGGACGACCATGTCCTTCTTACCATGCAGGCACCGCCGATGTTATGCCCATGAGATCTGGATCCATTCACCATGCAGCTTATGGCTTATGCATTGGAGCATGCGGCAGCTGTCCTCATCAATGCATCGTGCAACTTTATGTCAGCCTAAGTTCATAGCAATCGAGGCAGAAGCAAGATCAATCACGATCACTAGCATACTAGACTGCATGCAAGCAAGAGGCTTCTGAGCTGGACTTGCTACCTTGTCGTGCCATGGCCCTCTTTTTTGGGAGGTCAGGGTGGTACGGCGAGGATGAGAATGAACAGGTGCGAGGCAGTGAAACAGCATCTGAAAAAGAAAGTGATATGCTCATCCAGGAAGAGGAGGAGGATGAAGAGCGGCATCCAGATCCGGAGCAAGTTCAGCGCCCACGGCCTCAGTGCATTCTCCGGAAGCTTTGGCAGATGGACAGATCCGGATGTGATAAACCTTAGAGTCTTACAGTGGAGTCTTGTAAGGAATGGCAAGTGGATGGAGGTGTGGCCCGAACACTGGGGCATGCGCATGCATCAAATACGGGAGCTCCTCAACTCCTGCAAGGCGGGCACACACCAACTTTTCCCAGAACTTTCAGGATCGACTCGACTCGTAAAGTGTACATGTCCAGCAGGCTCCTCCGCTGCAACCATCCAAGGGTGTGCTTTTGTTCTGGGCATTTCCACTCAATAGACTACTGCACTACTGTACACTGCGACGTGAAACGCACTTCGGACTTATGTCGGTTTCAATTTTGGCTGAGCAACTTTGCCCTGGTCAGGAGGATGTTCACTGGCACCAGAGCCATTCTGTTCGAGACATGGTGAATCAGCACCTGCTTCCTCGAACAGCTGGCGAAGGAGTTGGCCGCTTGGAGGAAGATCCGCTTGCTCGGCTCGTGATGATTGAAATTGTTTGTAGATCTCTGTGCTGCTCTGCCAAGGTTATGCTGTGAAAATCAATCGACAGTCACCTTTGGAAGTAGATGTTCTTATATCGCACTCTTGGAACGAGAATGCGGAGGCCCGGAAGAGTGGGACAGGATGAAGGTAATCCCAAAGTTTTACAGTCATTGTCAGGAGTTCGTGGATACCCTCGAGCGGACCGTCGATCCTGAAGAAGTTCTTTTTGTCTGTGCCTTTTCAATCTACCAAAATGAGGCGCAGAACGCCGAGCTTACGGGACACATAGCAGCAGCTTGTTCGGCCGATCATGCCAGGACAACGCGGGACCTAGCATCGCCGAGCAGATCGGATCCTCCACACGGCACAGCCCTTTTGGGCGGGTCTTGTCGCATATCCAGGCTGTCTTAGCTGCCTTGTTAATGTTGTTCTGCAAGTCCTCTCACAGCGCTAAGTGTCGGTCGGTTTGCAGGTTGCTGCGGGTTCAATTTTGAATGCGGGAAGGGGGTTGTAGGAGGGTATGACTGTCACAGGTTTCGGTACCAGGCGGTCAATCCCTTGATGTCATATTGACAAGGCTTACCGCAGTTGCTGAATGGTTTTAGCCCGTCCAGCGGCACCGATGGACGGTACATTCCTCGTACCTTTTCTACCATGGGCCAGGCTGACATATTCAAGATTGCTTTGTTTGCACAAAAGCTGCAGATCAGCAGATACTGGAGGCCCCAATGTGTCTTTGTTCTAGGCTTCTATCCACTCGACGTTGACCGGGAGCTTATAGGGGTTCCCTAGTCAGCCGAGTCTTGTGCCACTACACAATGTGTTTCTCAGCCAGATCGGCATCACACCCGCTGGCCACAGAGTTTGAAATATGCGCTTTCCGGCGAAATTCTGCTCCAACCTTCCAGCGCGAACTTCAGAACCGGTGCCGTGCATTACAGCCCTTGAGCTGATTCGGAAGATCTCCACAGCCGAACCTGGAGATCAAGGCCACACCTACAACTTCGACTGGATTGCCTTTGCCTGCTGATTGCGCATTGTGTCTTATGACAGGCGACCGGTCACGAACCTCCCGTGCGCATCCACCATGCATTTCAGCTTCACGCGGGAAAGTTGACCCCAAGTCCTGCTCCTGCCCCCCCTTCCCGGTGCCCCCGAAACAGGGGGGCAATGAAGAACCCTGGACTATATAATTGTCCTTTGCGTTTTCATTCCTTCAACTATTTCGTTTTTTGTTCTGATCTCTAGGGACTGTTCCCCGACACGTTAGTCCACCTGAAAGGGCTGCTGACGAGTGATCTCACTTGTGGATTCGCACTGTGCTTCTAAATGACGTGGAGAGAGATTCGACTATCAGGCAGTCTTGTTTTACATCAGTCTCTCGGATGAGTTGTGGTGTGTATGGCTGTTTGTAGCATCGCCAAAAATACTGATTCATCATGATTATTTGCAGGCGCGTGGTGCAAGTGCGGGTTTCTGGTGGTGGCCACGACGCACGTTCTACATGCTGCCAGGCGACCTAGCACCCGAAGTTTGAGAAGTAGTATGTACTCGCACGATAGTACGGAGCAACCTTTGGGTTCTTTTCCTAGGTAGGAGTTTCAGAACGAATCTACTACGATGTAACATTCGCTGCGTCTGAGGTATGGAATTGTGACATCCGTGGCATGCAAGATTGAGCAAGTAAGGGTCGCACGTACGAATTCCAGGGACCTGCGGCGTGCTGGCAGGCTTATGTCTGCTGTTGGCGCTTGAGCTCTTTATGGTATCTCAACTTCTTTGTGGCGGAGTGGCTGGAATAGAGAAACTATATATCTTGGTGACATGGCTGTATGCAGGAGATGCGAGATATTATCCATGACTTCGCGAACTGTTCACATGCGCGGCATGCATGGAGCACGCAATACTGGTTGAAATTTAAACTCATCCCCAAGTCATAAGGAAGTGGCTTCTGACAAGTACTGCAGCAATTGGCGGGAGGGGAAAGGCACATGTTTGGCGAGTCACTGGGTGCCTTGGCTTACAAAGCCGTGGTTTGTCTCGGTAAATCCCTGTGTGTTCAGTTTTACGGTCATGTCTCTTGTGCAGTGCTGTTATTGTGTGGAGCCTAATCTCGGCCGTTTGGATAATCATTCTTGTGAACACAGCATTGGTTGCCAGCTGATCAATTCCATTTAATTCACCACTACTCCCTTCACCAGTGACATAGGCAGCCTATGATTGGTGCCCAGGCGGTTGTACACACTTTAGTCAGCGTGTTTCCGGCATGAAGCATGACTTTTTCCATTCGAGTCATGTGGCGCAAGGCCTATGGAAGAAGGACTGCTAGTTTCACAAAGGCTCTGATAGGCTTTGCCAGGCCGCAAAGTTTCTGGGGAAGCAGCAGAGGTTCAACGGCCAGTTTGAGCCAATCCCAACGAAGTGTCGACCCAGACTTGCGGGCCGACACGGGCACCACCCTGCCTTGGGCGAGTCAAGGGAAGTAGATGAGGCAGTCATGCGACCTCGTTTCGCCACATGTGGTCGCAGGGTGAGGGGTAGCACATGGCCAGTGGCCCGAAAGCTCAATCAGAGCCACCACCATTGCCATGTTGTTCTTCTGTGGCCGTCGCTTCCTAGAATTCTTGATTTTCATTCCGTTTTCGATTTGGAGATTTGGGAGTAAGATTGAGGCATGAGCTGGTGCGCGCATGGCCGATTCCCATGTCGATGTTGAGAGCCGGGGACAGGTCGTCGCTGACCTGGACGGTTACTGTGCTGCCACCTTCCCTTTGGTATGGAGCTTGGTGCTCTTCGGCATCATTTTGGAAGTGGCCCTGCGCGGCGTGTCTCGCTGGGTCTACAGCGGCCGAGCCTCCGACAGTGTTTCAGAAAGGTTTTTGTCACACATTAAGTTCATTAAGCAATATGTAGTTTGTTCGCATCGTCTGACATGTGCTTTATGGGCGTCATACAGTTTGCGAACTCTCGAATGTCTCAAATCGTCACCCGGTTGACGGTGTTGATTGCGGAGGCATGGTGGCCGTGCCAAATTACCAAGACAATCTCTACCAGAGGCCAGGGATGGGCTAACTAAGCACGTTCAATCTGTTTTAACCGATTGAAAGTGAACGTGTTTTAACATACTTCTTTCAACAAGCTTGTGCATAACTTTTTGTGTTGTTTCAAAGAACTGACTTTGTGTCAACATCCCCTTAGGAATCAGTACATGTAAACATAGCGGGCCGACCTGTCTCTGGGGCGACGCCCTGTGCTCTTCCTCCGGGTGCGTCCAAAGCGGCCCTGCTGGTAGCCCATGGGGTTAGAACATGTTTAAGCACAATGCGTTTAAACAGATGTGAATTGCCTGTGAGAGGACGAGTGAGGTCCTGGCAGGCCCAGGCAAGGCGGAGTAGGTGAGTAGGTCAGCGCAGAATGTTGGGAAGCGGTTGTGAACATGAGGAAGTACTAAGTTGAAAGGAGAAGTGACACAACCCTATACGAAGCCACACCGTCAGAAAGGATCTTTGTTGCAGGGCCGTTTGGAAAGCATACTGTCAGGAAGGATCTTGGTTTCAGGGCCAGTACGAAGCCATACCAGCAGAAAGGGTCTTTGCTGCAGCTTATCTAACCTTCTGTTCTTTTCTACGCCTAAAATTTGACACGTCAAAACAAAAACGTTGAAATGCCTGGCCCCTGATGTGTTTAAACACATGCCGTCTAAGCAGTTTAAACATAGAGTCTTGAACAGGGAGTTCGTTTAAGCTGCTTAAGCATAGGACATTCACCATCAGAAAGAGGGCGTTCACCGTCAGAAAGGATGTCTGTTGCAGCTTATCTGCTTCTGTTCATTTCTGCGCCTAGAGTTTGACACGCCAAGAGATACATGTTTATACCTGGCCCTTACTGTGTTTAAGCTCATGTCGTCTAAGCAGTTTAAACATAGAGTCTTGAACAGGGAGTTCGTTGAAGCTGTTCAAAAACAGGGTTCCGAACACGGGAAATTTCGTACATATTTGCTGTTTAGCACGGGCTGGAAGCCGTTTAACCGCAACCCCTCGGCCAGAGGCTGTGGTGTGTTTATGTATCTTGGCGATTCTTCAGAACTCTTTTCAGTTCACCCACAAGCTCTGCCTCCCCCGAGCCATAGCCTGACTGAGGAGATATTCATGGCCACTCAGCTCAGGGTTTATGTCTCTTTGGCGCACACACTGGCTCCAGCTGGCAAAGTCCATGCCCGGAACGCCGGTTGCTCCAATGTTGACGACGAGGCCCACTGCAACTCAAGCCTTGTCTCCAATCAAACAGGGTCATGCTGCAGTGTGTGACTGATGGCAGGCTCGGATACGCAGGGAGATTGAGTCCTTTGGAGCCAGAGTTCGTGCAAGGTGCTGCGGATAAACGGGCCATCTCGCGCCCCACCTCTTGTGCGATTGTGCACAGGTCCAAGTCAAAGCTTTTCGAGCGCCACGGCACGGACTCGGAGGAGGCTGCCGCAGAGGAGGGGTATCGGCGCGTAGATGCCTCCATCACCTGGACCACGACACGTGCGAAGCGGGCTCCTCGCTGTGGTACAGCACATGCACTCAGAGGAAGGACGAGGACACTTGCCGGAAGCCCCCTGTGCTGCAAAGCTCAGGAATGGCTGCTGGTCATCCTTCGTATCATACTGCTGGGTACTGCGCTGCAAGGGAGCGTGACTGTCCTCTCCCTTTCTCTGGGCTTGAAAAAAAGATACTTCGCTCTGGGCTCCTTGCATGGAAGTAAACCGTTCGAGTCTACGGTGTTGTTTTGCACGGCTGAGGTTAAAGACAGCACAACATCTGTTGCGTGTGTGCATCTTGCTTGCTTGTTCGAGGCTACATTTTCGCTTTCTTCTTATACATGGCTCTGATGTGGTCCATTCTGCGGCGCACTGGATGTATTGAACGCCGGCATCTGCTGCTCTTAGGGATGCTGCCCTTTTTGACTGGTGTCATGCTCGTCGTGATGGACACCTGGTTTTGTTAACACTCTTTGTGTTGCATTCTTTGGTTTATTTTCAGTTGTGAGTCTTGATAGTCAGGGGCAGACAATCAAGCCAGGCTGACTTGGTGGCACCCGACTTTGAAAATCACAGCATGGATGTGCCGAAGATGCAGAGTGACAACTTGGACCCCCACTCAGTTGAAACAAATTGTCTTCAACACAAGCTGAGGTGGTTGCTGCGATGGGGTTCGTTTTTGTCATGTACCATGGCTGCAGGAAAGTGGAGTTTGTTGTGGATTTGTCGTTGGCTGCCCAACAAAGTAGTCGTGCCACTCTCGAGTTCTGTCTGGTGCTTGGATCTTGGAAGTTTGCTTTGCCGGAAGTGGGCTTCTGCCTCGAGACCTGATATCGCTTGAATTCGATTCACTTCATGTTCTAACAAAGTCCGCCAAGTGTGCCAACGTTGCGACAGATTGGCTAGGCTAACCGCTTTGCCTAGGTTTGGTGTCTCCAGCTTGTTTCTGCCACTGACGAGGACGTTCGAAGACAGCTAATTACTGTTGCATTCAGCGTCAGCAGATGTTTACATCAACAACGGTAATGGTCTTCGTACTTGTAAGAGTGCGAATCAACAGTTACCGCCACGCCTCGCCTGCATTCGTCGGGTCCACCAAGTCCATCTATGGCAGGATACGGAAGTTCCGCCAGAACTGGCGACCTGCATTCCTTTGCATGGTCGGTGCACTGACATGGCTCGGATTCTATGCAACTCGACTGCATTGGAAGGCCTATGTCTAAAAGTCGATGCTGGGACCTTTTGCAGTGTGCTGACAAGCAGCAGAACTTGTCAAAGTGTTTGCCACAATGAGAACAAGGTGGAGCAACAGCATCCAAAGTCACAGCAAACTTTGCAGGGCTGAGGATGCTCTTGAGCGTCCCAACACATTGCAAAGAAGGTGTACGAGTTGCTGATGTCAGGGTGCAAATGGGTGCAAAATGACTTCTCATCGCTGCTGTCCTGTAAGCTTGATGATCTCAGAGTCGACCTCAGGTCTCCTATGCCATCTACTTCCGCAGACCTGCCTGGACCCATGGGCAAACATCGACATTGTGGGGGTAGCTTGGGTTTTCTTTCGAAGTTATCAAGAGTCCTATCTCCGATCGGGCGCCCTGGCGCCCTGGCGCCCTGGTACAGGAGCTTCCAGACTTTGGACTTGAACTTTGCGCCAGCGCCCGAGCTTTCGCCTGTGGTTGGTGAGCGGTGACTTGTGACTTATCCAGGCGGTCTCTTGACCTGTCAATTCAGATCGTCTGCCCTCTCTTCCCTACCCTTTCTTCCCCACTTGCCCTCCCTTTCCCTTCTTTTCTGTCACTGCCCTCCCTTCCCTTCCTCCTTAGTTCTGGAAGGGGCTATGCCGCTAGTCTCATGCAGGCAATGAAAACAGAGGTTTAATTTCCACTCCGCGGGTGGCAACATATGTTTCTATCAAGACAGAGGTAGGAAAGCCAATGTGACACTCATCGCGACCCACCACTCGAGAAGCATCGAGAAGCCAGACGTGACTATGGAGAAGTCGCAAGTGCCCCTTCTCTGGGCTCATGTCTAGGTATCCGTCGCTGATGCAGACTGCGACTTTGAATTGCGGTCCGCCGCTGCTTGCATGCAGCCTCCTTGCACTTAGAGTGGATCGTCAGGGTTGAGAGCCACTTGCACGCTTCCGAGGCTACATTTGGTCATTTTTGCTTGCTTGGGGAGTGCCGTGGCTGCAAGCCAAATCAGTGGCGTTCATGTTTTGGCTTCTTTGGAATCGAGGTGCGAATGCAGATCGTGCACAAGGATCCAAGTGTCACTGAACACATGATGCGTGCCGACTGCATCAGCTTCAGCTAGAGACTGCCATCGTCAAACCGCAAACCTGCTACGGGCAGTTTTTTTTTCTTTCTGAAGCCCTGAAGGCAAGGTGTGGTCGATCTGAGGGCGAACTCTGTCCAGGCCCTGGAGGAGGGCTTGCAAACCTTCCAGGCCATCCAATGCGGTGCCTTGGTGAACACAGCGTTCTGACACGTTCTGACTGGCAACTGCAACAAACAGAACAAATGTATGTGTAGGAACCAACGCTGGCGCGGCCACAGTCGTTTGCTTTTGCCTCTGTATTCCTTTGACCTGAGTGCAGCCAAGCACGTTTCGTCAGAAATTGCCCCAAGATCCTGTGAATACGGCAGTGCCTAGTCTTTTCAGCAAGGCACTTTCCACCACGGCCCATTGCCAAAGCTGCAAGCGAAATGTGCGTGCTTCTAGCAACATGCTATGTGCATTCTGCAGCTTTTTGCACAAGTATCTAGTCACTAGTCATCATACTCATCATTCGGGAACCTTGACTCCTGGTGCAGTATGGGTTACGCTGAAGGTGGGTGCTGTGGCAGTGTGGACACAGAAACTTCTGACTCGTCCGTGTCGGAGTGGGACGAGGACAGCGATGTTACTAATTCAACAAGTGCATGGCCACACAATTGCATTTAGCGTCTTGCGGCTCGTGTTGATTATTCGCTCTTTAGTCTGCGGCACCCTCCTGAATACTGACGGTCTTTACCTGCCTGTTGTTGATTCGAAGCAGCTTTTCAGCGACGTCCACGCCGGCATGTGTTCTCCTGGAGTGCCGTGCACATCTAAGGTGAGGTCATTTGCTTTGACCTGCTATGTCCAAGACATGCTCTCTGGCATGGCTACCTCGTGCCCTACACGTGCATGGCAACCTGTCCGCTTGAAGAGTGGGCCGGCAGCATTGCAAGCAGGACATTGCAGAGGGCCTGCCTTATGGCCACGCAGGGCAGGAGAAGAGACGATTATCCGGAAGATTTTGACACTGCATTGTCATGTTACGAGTACGTACAGCCGTCTCTCCTCCTTGTCCCCAGCGATGTTGAGGTCGCCGGCCTTTCAAAATCTGTACAGAGTTGCAAGCTGCAGCTACTTTTGAGCCTCCCTGTGTGGAAGCTATGCTCCGTCAAGGGACACACTGGCGTGTCCGAAAGACTGTCTGAAAGGAGGCAGCAGGCGATCAATGTTGTGGTTTGTCTTCGAGAGGCCATGCTTTGTGCGTCTTATGCCGATGTCCTGAACAGAGGTCCTTTGCTGCATGTTTCGGCATCTCTCGTGGTCTCGGGCCCAGCATGGCCAGTGCCCTGAAGCTTTCTCAAAAGAGCCAGAAGAATGTTGCGAGCCGAGGCTGCGGTGATTTGCACCACCTGCCACATGCCCTGACCTGAGCTCTAAGAGCCACAGCTTGGCTCCGAGAGGGTCTCGAAGAGATGAGGCCTTTTGATGTGGTCCTGGTCGTGTACTTCACTCAGCCGAGGGGCTGAGGGCTGCGGGCTGCAGCTGCTGGAGGTGTCCTCAAGCACCGGTCGTCTTTCGCAGGTATCAAAGCGCACAGAACCTCGGCTGCGATCGCCTTCGCTACATTCGGTCTGGCCCGCTGGCTTGCGCAAATGCGCTGCTGCGAGAGCCCAGAGCCAAGCGGAGCCAAGCCGACAGACGTATTTGATGTCTCGCAGAGACTCGGCTTTTCTACTTTTCAGGTCCGGACCCCAAGTCTTTTTTCGCGGGTGGACACCTGCCTTCGTGCGCCTGGCTCCAGTGCCCGAGCCCCGGGCCCCGAACCTCACAAGACGGGACTTCCCCAAAAGAAGCTGCTCTCAAGGTGTGTCTTTTCCTTCTGGCTCTACGAACAGCTCCGGCGTCTGGTCGGCATCGGTTACTTGGACTGACGGCTTGAAAAAAGTGTGCAACTTTTGGCGGCATATGTTGCGTGGCATACTTCATCGAGAGAACTGGGGTAGACGACAGAATTGCACCACCGGAAGTGCTTGCAGCTTCGCAGTGGTTCGCTGTGGGGTCTCAGATCTCAGGCTTCGACAAGTTGTTTGTAGCGATGGGCAGTGGCGCGGGTCCAGGGTCCTTTCTGCAAGTGCACAGTTCGCACACGGTTTCCCGAATCTGTGTTGAAGCTGAACGACAGGCAATGAAGCCTGAGCTCAGTCAATACTACAGTAGTGGGTAGACATGGCATGTCTACATCGGTGGCGCGATGGAAGGGTGTGACGTGTTACGGCAGAGTCTAGCTGCGCGCTTGACTTTCCTTCAGATTGTCTGTAGCGGTTGCCTTCCGTCCACACGACGCCATGGAGGCATTGCTGGGGACAACACTGTTGCATGGGACGGCGCAGGTCGCGACTTCGTCTTTGCAGGGAGGGGTCGTAGCCCTCTACTTTTCCGCTGGATGGTGCCCTCCGTGCAAAGGATTCACTCCTCAATTCCGCAAAGTGTACGAGCGCGCAAAATCGAAGAATCGAGCCTTGGACGTTGTCTTCGTATCCAGCGATCGTGACGAGACCTCTTTCCGGGAGTACTTCGCCAAAATGCCGTGGCATGCACTGCCCTTTGCGGATCGCCAGCGGCAACAGCAGCTCTCTGCAAGCTTCGGTATCCGCGGAATTCCTGCGGTTGTCCTGCTCAATTCTTCTGGGCAGCTGCTGGATGCCAGCGCACGAGGCAAGGTCATGGAGCCTGGTTTCGTCTTGTCCCTGCCACGCTCCATCGACTTGGCGTCGGCGGCGCTGCCTGAGCCGTCGGGCGCCATGCAGTTGCAGTTGCGGTACAAAGGATGTGAGTATGACTTCGAATGTGAGCCCAGAGACTCGGACTTGATTCTGACTCGCTTTTGTCGTAGTCTCCCAGCTAGCTGAGCCAACATATACACAACTGGCCGGTTGTGCATTCCAAGATGCTAGGTGAAGGCTGGGAAATGCTGCGCATGCAGATCTACTCCATGATTGACGTGCCATCTGAGCAGTTGAAGCTGTTTGGGCTGGGACTTGACAAAGGCCGGCATGAGCACAAGGGCTCAGATTCCCTGCTTGCTGTAAGCCCAAACGAAGTGCTCTAAGCTTGCGTAGAATGGGCCCATGGTGCCTGGGCTGTTGATTAGTAGTCATGCGGCTTAGGGTCTCAGCTCTGGGGGTTGCAATCTCAAGGTGCAGGATTTTTTCCTGGACTGTGCAGCTAGGTGTAGAGCGTGGGCTTCCGGACCTGTGGCAAGTGTTTCGCTTCGGTTGGATTGAAGGTTTCACGATCGTGGTGAGGCCTTCGGATATGCCACTGAGGGACTGCAAAATCAGCTAATAATTTTAATAATGCGTCTGCATCTGCCCCAGACCACCCGCTGATTCTGAGCATTTGTTGTTTCCATGCAGCGCGTCCTTCTTGTCTGCTTTTCGAAGTGGGTTGGGTGGGTCTCTGCCGTCAAAGCTCTGTGTGCAGCGGGAACTTCAATGCTCGGGGTTCATCTTGCCGAATGGATGTCCCGCGGCCAACCAGTGTCGTTCACGGACGGCCCTTGGGAGGCAAAGGTTCGTTTTGCGACTGGCGAGGCAGAAGTCGAATGTGAGTCTAGTGGCTTGGCCCGCCGCCTACGTCTTCGCAACGGGGTTTCTTGCACTGGAGTTCAAAACTTTGCGCACGACCAACAAGGTAGACTTGTCAAGCGTGCTTTTGTGCACAGGGCTTTGGCCTACATGCTTGTTGCTACGGACATGCTGGCTTCTGGCGATCATGCCTTGCAGCTTCAGCAGCTTCAATTGCTGGTTTCTGCCGATCACGGCCCTTAAGCCACTTCCGTCTGGTAGAAAGAAAGGTTCCACAACATCCCTGGCTCCACTAACGGTATCTTTTCACAGGACGGGCATTTGGACATCAACAGATACACAGTCTGGGAGTTGGGGAAGAGGAGCGTAGAGGTCATGGTCCATAGTTCAGGGATTACTTTTCAGTGGTTCAATTGCCTTTGTGACCGCAGGGGTTATGGTGCCGAGCTAGCATCATTTTCAATGTCATCTGCTATCCAGGGTGCGGTTGGCTCGGGATCAAAGGAAAGCGCCAGAATATGTCCGTACTTCGTGAACTGATCCAGGTGTTGCAGCAAAATCACTTCCAGATGCAAGTCCCGACCCATCGTTTCCAATCCAGAATGCACTCCAGCCAAAGAGCAGTTGTGCTGCAGGCAGACTGCAACGACATGTCGACAGAGACAATAGATATGCACGGCCTGTCATGACCCTGAAGGTCAATTGGATGAGTCCGTCCCTCTACCGCGGGCTTTGGCCAGGGGCATTGCGGCCCAGAAGAATTCGGGTCTCCAACTGGCCAAGGCGGAACTCAACCCGTCGGGGTGTCAGAGTTGAGCATCATAACCACTCCTCCAGTGGTGAGAGAGCCACATAAACCAACAGCATCGACCTTCCTTGTCATATCTAGCTCCTGGAGGTGCCATTAGAAGCAAGACGAGCCTCCTCGAGTCACGATGACGACAAGCCAGGGCAAAGGCATCACACTGGATGCTTGGATCAGAGGGCTGCACGGGATGGGGCTGCTGAACTGTACATGGCGCCATGTGTTTTGAGCCGAGGAACCTTGGACTCCGCCAGCGCTTGGTGCTCCAAGCGCGAAGACTGCAGTCCCTGGTACCAGTTGGACCTGGGAGAGGTCGGAAATGTTGCTGGAGTGCTTTTGGCCGCACGCGCCGGCCTCGGTGCTCTCTGCATGCTACGATCTTTCGAGCAGAATCTGAAGCAGCTTTTCGTTCGTTGATGCGCCTGAGGCGCGGATTGTGGCCAGTGGGTCACAAGGCTGGCAAGTGCGGCTTATTGGTGTCTTGTGTGGTTGGTGTTTCGAGAGAGTTTTGCAGGTTCCGGGTTGAGCTGGCTGATTCTGAGGACCCAAGGCTTGAAAGCCTTTGGCAAGTGTTCAAAATCTGGGCTTTCGCAGGATGGGCCCTGGTCTGCGGCTGACGATGGCAGGGAGTTCGATGGGCCAAGTACTCGGATCTACGGGTCGAGAAGCTGGGAAGTGGCACCTTTTTCCTTTCTCTGAGGCCAAGCTACGCATTCCCCGTACGTGCGGTCTTTGAAAACGGCACATGGCCAAGGAGTGAAATATCCAACGCCTCATACGTGATCGGCTGATGTCGGCTAGTGTCGTGCATGCTGCTACTCGCAGTGATCCTGCCGAGTAGACTCGTTCCCTATACGTTGCATTGTAAAGGCTACGCCTCTTTCACTAGTGGACACGAATGGCCTGCAGCCAAAGCTGTTTATCATTGAGCTTCTTGGACCTCGGCACATCATTTCGTCAAAGACCTATGACAGCAGGCTTTCTTGACAAAACACTGCAAACATGTCAATACCGTGGCAGATGCTGGCTGCACTAGACTGAGGCTCACAGCTTGCCCGCTTCGTTCGAATCCTGCCGTTAAGTTGCCGTCTCAGGCTTCACAGTTGGGTTACTGTTGCTGAAGCGGGGCAGAGATAAGCAGACAGAGGTCACCGGAACCATTGCTCTCTCCGTGCAGATGTGCTGCTGGAGCGGGGAAGGGCTCAAAGTGCTGAGTGTTGAGTGGATAGAGTGGTCCGGTCCTGCAAGCTGGTATCGTCTCAGTGTGAGTGGCAGCTGGCAGCGAATGCAGGCTACAGGAGAACCGGACAAGCCGCCCGTAATTGCTTCTTGGGTTTTTATTCGACTGTTGCGATCCGGAGGGCTGTCGCTTCCCCGGTTGCGAAAGGCTGTCAATCCTTTCCGAGGTCGCTCTCGGAAACTTCAGTGCGGGAGACCCGTTCGAATC